TGATCGAGGGAGGCAGGTTGGTTGAGGGTGCGCAGGAGGTGGGGAAGAAGGCGATGAGGAGTTGGATCAGGAGGAGGAGGAGTAGGAGGAGGAGGAGGACGAGGAGGAGGAGGAGGAGGAAGAGGAGGAAGGGGAGGATGAGGTTGAGGAGGAGGAGGAGGAGGAGGAGGATCGGAGGAGGAGGCGGCGAGCAAGAGGAAGGCGATGTGGAGGAGGAGGGCGAGGAGGAGGAGGAGGAGGAGGAGGAGGAGGAGGAGGACTTGAGGTAATACGGCTTTGGGGCGCCTTGATCTGGTTTCAGTTTCCTGGGCCCGGTGGTGCGAATGGCCTGGGGGTGTGGTCCAGACCGCACGGAGCAAGGTCGCATTGGGCTAGTAACTTGCTAGAGTCGCAGTAAGGCTGCAAGAGGTTCCCAGGAGGGCCCCCAGGGCGGTCTCGGGATTGTCTCTGCAAGTGAAATAAGCGGCGTAGATCTTCAGGTTGGAACCTGCCATAGCAGCAGGAAGGCCTCCTGAGGGCCCCAACAGGCCCCAAGCCGGTCACAAAGTGGCCCGCAAGGCAGATCGTCAGCATAGGTATTCACCGTTTGGGAAAATGCGCGCGTGTTGGACCGAAGCTATCTTACTAGAGTGGCCTGCGCCGTTCCGCCGACCCCCACACAAGGAGTGAATGGTTGAGATGATCGTGGACGTTCTCTCTTGGGTCAGGAGACGCTTGGATGCATCTGAGGCGCTCTTGGGGTGCCTATCGGGGGCCTGCTGGAGGGCCTTTGAGAGCATCTGGAGGGGGCTTTTTGGGGCCTCCCGCCGCCTCGCACAGCCGGGCCGCCACGGCTTCCGCGGCCTCGCGGGGGGTCACCTCCTTGCTTCGGCGCCCGGCCAGTCTGCCGCGCCGCCTCCTCCACCCGACCGCGCCGGCCCGCCGGAGCCTTCCCGCACGCCCCCGGTGCCGCACACGGCCGCGCTCGGCCGCGCCCCGTCCGCCCTTTCAGCAGCGACCACTCTCCCGGTCTCCCCTCCCGCTGCCCCCCGGCCCCCCTGGATCGGGGCTGGAAAAGAGGGGGGTGATGACTGGGGGGGGGGATATCATGGCGGGGGCCATGATTTTTCCCTAGATTTCATGGCGCCTCTTCTTATTTCATTGCGTCCCTGGCCCCCCCGCTGGGCCGCGCACATGCCGCCGGTCATGATTTGCACCCCCCCTCTTGGACACCCCCCTCTTGGCCGCTCCCGACCCGCTGCCCCCCGGCCCCCCTGGACTCGCAAGCCCCAATGCTCGCCGGGACCCCCCGACGACTCCAGACCAAAAAAAAACAAACACACACAGTGTTTCCTTGCACCGAGAAGGCCAAACACTGTGTATGTGTTTTTTGTATGGGGACTACAGAAACACTGTGTATGTTTTGTTTTGTTTTGTTTTGACAGCGCCAGTTCTTGCTGGGAGAGAGGCCCCTGCGAGCATTGGGGCTTTCAAAACCACCCAACAAATATACACAGTGTTCCCTTGCTCCTCAGACCAAAAAAACAAAACAACCAAACATACGCAGTGTCTGGCGCTCTCGGAGCAAGGAAGCACTGTGTATGTGTTTGGGGGTTTTGCCAGCGCCAGTGCTTGCTGGGAGAGAGGCCCCTGCGAGCATCGGGGTTTTCAAAACCAAAAAACAAGCATACACAGTGTTTCATTGCTCGTCAGACCAAACAACAAAACAAACAAACAAACCTACACAGTGTTTGGCGCTCTCGGTTCAAGGAAACACTGTGCATGTTTGGTTTTTGGCTGAAGTCGCAAAGAGGGAGGAGAGGGGGGAGGAGGAGCAAACGATCATTGGTTACGGTTCTGCTTCTGGTTCTGGTTCTCGTTATTCTAGTTCTGGTGATGGTTCTTGTTTGGGTTGTTCTGGCGTTGGTTATGGTTGTGGTTATGGTTCTGGTTCGTTTTGTGGGCTTGTTGGCTTTGGGGATGCTGGGTAGGGTGACCATATATGTGTATATATTTACATATATATATATGTGTGTGATGTCTCTCTCTCTCTCTCTTTGTTCTCTCTCTCTTTTTCTTGTTACGCATCTACATGTTGTCTACGGTTCGCTACGCTGCGCCGTCGAACCCTTGGTTCGTTAGGTGGCTCTGGCGTGGGGGCGAAGATTCGCGCGTGGCGAAGGGGGGCGCGCAGAAATTGCTCGGGCAAGCAAGCGTTTTAAGCCATCATTGGGCTTTCATGGGTTGTCTTGGGCTCCTCTTAGGCCGTCTTGAGGCCATCTTGGGTCGTCCTGGGGCCGTTTTGGGTGCCTCGTGTGCCTCGCCTCCTTGAGGCGGTGCTCGGGGCTTTGGGGCCGTCGAGGAGCGTCGGCAGGCCGAAAAATCGAAAAACTGTACGCAAACTTCCAGAATCTCAATTGGGGAGTTGTGAGGTTTGCCTCTGGGGGCTCTTTTCGGGGCGCTTCTCGGAGCTCTCTTGGGGTCTCTGGGGGGCCTCTTTGCCCCTCTTGTGGGCCATCTTGGGCACATCTCAAACCATTCTGGGGCCATCTAGGCCGTCGTGAGGAGCTTTCGAGGCCTCCGGAGGCTTCCTAGGGCCCATTGGCAGCTGTTTTGGGGGTTCTCTGGGGCCCCAGCTGTTGTTTGTGTGTCTAGGTACTCATGGTAGTCGCACAGGTAGAGAGAAATAGAGCGAGAGAGAGAGAGAGAGAAAGACAACAAAATAGATTGCGAGAGAGAGAGAGGGAGAGAGAGAGAGAGAGAGAGAAAGAGAGAGAGAGAGAGGGAAAGAGAAAGAGAGAGAGAGATACAGAGACGTCGAGGACGACGACGAAGACGACGAGGAGGAGGAGGAGGACGACGACGACGACGACGACGACGACGACTACGACGACGACGACGACGACGACGACGACGACGACGACGACGACGACGGCGGCGGCGGCGGCGGCGGCGGAACTGGCTGGACGAGAGTGCGGCCAGCCTGTTGCACGTCCTTCCCTCGCTTGTCTCCTGTCTCCGCCTCCTCCCTCCCGTTTCCCCTCTCTGCTCTGCTCCTCGTGCTCCACCCTCTCCTTCCCTGTTTCTCCCCCCGCTTTCTCCTCCTCCCCCCTCCTCCTCCAGCCTCTTCCTTCCTCCTCCCCCTTTCTTCGCAGGGGCCTGCGCGTTCCTTGGAATCTCTCCTCCGTGGCGGCGGTGGGAGCCGCTGTCTGAAGGCACGGGCATGATCCGGTGGCCGTGTGGGGCGGTCCGGGCAGCTCCGGAGGGCCCCCGGCGAGGCCCAGCTGCTGGAATGCGTTCCGTGGCAGGCGTATACCTCGAAGAGCCGACGGAACGCGTGGAACATACAGTCGGGGCCCTGGAGAAGGAACCCTTTTCCGAGAGATTCCGAGAGATTCCATCTGACCCCCCTCCTCCCCCCTCCTGCTCCTGCTCCTGCTCTTGCTCCTCCTCCTCCTGCTGCTCCTCCTGCTCCTGGTCCTCCTCCCTCCTCCTTCCTCCCCTCCCCTCTCCCCCCTCGAAGTGCCCCCCCCACCCCCCTCCCCCCCCCCGTCCCCAACCCCTCCCCGCGTTCCCACCCCGGGCCCTACAGTCGGGGCCCTGAAGAAGGAACCCTTTTCGTTGGGGAGGGGCTCGGTGTTCCTTGATTGTTCTACAGTTTGCTTTCTGTTTTCCGGAGGTTTTCCATGGGAAATCGGAGTTCAGCTTATGGGAAAAAGGGGCCCCGTTCCTTATTTAGGGTTCCTTAGGTCAACGCCCCGACTGTAGGGGAACAATAAGTGACATAAACATAAAAACTCCGACGTCCGCGCGGATTTCTCGGATCGGCGCTGGACCCCCCCCCCCTGGCGCGCGGAGCGCGCCAGGGGCGGCGCCGGAGGCGCCGCCAGGGGGGCCCCAGCGCCGATCCCGAGAAATCCGCGCGGACGTCCGAGTTTTTATGTTTATGTCACTTTTTGTTCCCCTAGAACAGGGCTGGACCTGAGCGGTGTCTTGGCGATTTCGTGGGCCGTTTTCGTTTCGGCTTCCTGTTGCGGTAGGGGTGGGTTGAGAACCAAACGAGGGAGAACGAAAGCAAGACGAGAACGAAAAACACAGTTTAGGTTCAGCCCTGTCGTGGAACACCGATCCTCGAATCTCGTCCCGGGTGGGGACCGTCGAGGTGTGTGCTTGGATCACGATCCCGGGATGCGTCCGAATCGGAATTTAGGGGCGGATCCAGCCGTTAGCATGATAAGGGTTCTGAAGGCCGACAGAGAAGGGACTCTCACCAAAGCTGGTCCTCGTCCTCTTTTTCCGCCTTTTCCTCTTCCTCCTCCTGCTTCTCGTCCTCCTCGAAGTGGTATTGTCGATCGGCGATCGCGTGTTTTTCGGGGGCGCAATTGGACTCGACGACACTGTTGGAGGATCTAGAAGGATGGATTGAGTCGAGGAGTGCTTTGGAAGCTCCAGAGGGCCTGCGGATGTGGAGCGCACGTATGGAAGCTCTCAGGGGCTCTAGAGGCGTCTCTGGAGGTGCCTGTAGAAGGGCCTCTAGAGGGGCTTCTGGAAGGGCCGCGAGAGGGGGGCGCACGCGACTCTGGACAGGGAGAACGCTTGCCTCTAGAGGCGTGAGCATCGACTGTGCCTCTGGAGGATGCAGATTCCCCACCGGAATCTTCAAGAGGATGTAGGTGTGTCTCTCTGTTTGTTTTGCCTCTCTCTCGCTCTTTTTTTTTTTTTTCTCTCTCTCTCTCTCTATATATGGCTACTTGTTGCTTGATGTTCTGATTTCTCTCTCTCTCTCTCCCTCTCCCTTTCCCGCTGTGCGCCGTTCCGCGCCGCGCTCCGCAGGCAGGCGCAGCTGCGCGAGGAGAGCGAGGCGCTGCGCGAGTGCCTCGAGGCGCGGGGGGGGGGGGCGCCACAGTCGGGGCGTTGGCCTGAGGAGCCCTAAAGATAAGGAACGAGGCCCCTTTTTTTAACGCTTCTCTCGTCCGTAATGTTGCATTTAGGCTCAACCCGCTATGCCACCAAGGGCACATCTGGGGTAGGCAGAGTCCCAGAGAGCCACCAAAGACACGCCAGAGGCCCAGGCCTAGCGCTCACGACGAAAGCATCATCATCATCATCATCATCATCATCATCATCATCATCATCATCATCATCATCATCATCATCATCGTCATCGTCATCGTCATCGTCATCGTCATCGTCATCGTCATCGTCATCGTCATCGTCATCGTCATCGTCATCGTCATCATCATCATCATCATCATCATCATCATCATCATCATCATCATCATCATCATCATCATCATCATCATCAGTCGGGGCGTTGGCCTGAGGAACGCTAAAGATAAGGAGCGAGGTCACTTTTTTCTCCATAAGGCAAACTGCGGCTTCCCGTCGAAGACAGGAGGAGCACCTGAGGCAAGCTGTGGAACAATCGAGGGGCACCGAGCCCCCCCCCAACGAAAGGGGTTCGTTCTTCAGCGGCCCGACTGTAGGGCCCGGGGTGGGAACGCGGGGAGGGGTTGGGGACGGGGGGTGGGAGGGGGGTGGGGGGGGGACTTCGAGGGGGGAGAAGGGGAGGGGAGGAAGGAGGAGAGAGGAGGAGCAGGCGCAGGAGGAACAGGAGGAGGAGCAATAGCAGGAGCAGGAGCAGGAGGGGGGAGGAGGAGGGTCAGATGGAGGAGAGGGAGTGGATCAGGAGGAGGAGGAGGAGGAGGAGGAGGACCATAGTGAACCCGATGCCCAAATGCCCTCTTCATAGTTCCCTACGAGATTGCGAAGGCCTTACGGCCGGTGCCGCCGACCCTGAGTTTGGGGAGGAGGGCGCGGAGCATGGGGAGGAAGATGAAGAGGGGGACAGGAGGAAGAGGCGGATGAGGAGGAGTAGGAGCACAGGGGGGGAATGAATAGGAGGAGAGTGAGGCGAGCAGGGTCGCGGGGGGGGGCACGAAGGAAGGGCAGGGGCGAGTAGAGCGTGGCGATCATGAGGAGGAGAAGGAGGGAGATAATGGCGAGGATGTTGACGATGTTAATGACGACGCCGGTTGCCTATCAGGACCATTCGCGAAGCGTCTTGGAGCCCTCTTGGGGCGACTTCCAGGCTTCGTTCGCTGTTTTGAAGCTAGGTTCGGCATCTTGGGCATCTGGGAGGCCACGGAGGTGTAGTTAGATTTGGAGGGCGCTGGGGCCAGGACCTGGGCCAGGGCCGGGGCCGGAGCGGGCTGGGAACCAGGGCCGGGGCCGGGGCCGAGGCTGGGACTGGGGCCGCGGGGCCGGGGCCGGGCCGGGGCCGGCCGCGGCCTGGAGGAGAGGGGGTGGACCAGGATGACGAGAAGGAGGAGGAGGAGGACCATAGTGAACCCGATACCCAAAGTCCCTCTGTATAGTTCCCTACGAGATTTTTGCTTCAGTGTTTGAAGTGCCCCGTTGGAAGATCGCCCCCGCGACTCATGCGTGAACCCCCCAGCCCCCCCGGCCAGATTTCTTATTGATTTCTTTTCCTCCAGGTGGGCCCCGGGAATGCTTTCCTTCGGGTGGCCCCCCATGGGTCCCATGTTGGGGTCGCCCGGGTGATGTTGGGAGGCAATCGTATGAGAATCTTCAATCGTGCCAACACACTACCTTTTGGACTCCACCCTTGCGAATCAACTTTAATGTCGCGCCCAGGCGGTCCTGAATCGCGTTGCAACATCATTCTTGGGACTTGAACACCGCGAATCAACGTGATTGCTGCGACCTAACAACCGTGAGCTGTGCCGGAACGCCATTCTGGGGACATCGCATGCGATAGTCCGTTAAGTTGTTTGAGACGAACGCGCGCGGCGCTATGGCGAGAACCACATTTTGGAAACGGCCGGCCCTCCATCCGCGAATATCTAGCTAATTTGACGACGGGTATGCGCGGCGACCAGGCGAAAACTACATTTTGAAAACTACCCGCACTCCATCCGTGCAGCCCGTGCACATTTTTGAGAAGACTACCTCGTGAGCCCCAAGCTGTGCATAGGCGTCGGCAATCTCGTTACCCCTAGAAATCTGAACCCTTTGGCCAAGGTGTCCGTGGGTCATAGCATCTAAGTAAGAGCAGCACTTGTGGACACGGATGGGACTTCGGCGTTCTTGGGCGGCTTGGGAAATGGTTTCCCACCAAGGTTTCTGGACCCCCGACGGTCTCAAGAGCAACGTGATATCGATAGTGACATCGATAATGAGATCGACAAGGTCCCGTGACGTGCCGTGGTGTCTCGTTGAGTGAGATCGGTAGTGAGATCGATATTGAGATCGATCGTGAGATCGATGTGGTGTCCCGAGCTGTCCCATGGTGTCCTATGGTGTCCCGTTGAGTGAGATCGATAGTGAGATCAGTAGTGAGACCGATAGTGAGATCGGGAGGTGTCTCGCGGTGTCCCGTGGTGCCCCGTGGTGGCCCATGGTGTCCCGTGATGTCCCGTTGAGTGAGATCGATAGTGAGATCGATACTGAGATCGACAAGTGTCCCGCGGTGTCCCGTGGTGCCCCGTTGAGTGCGATCAATAGTGAACTCGATTGAGTCAGATGTTGGTTCCCCCCCTTCTCCCCCCCCACAACCCCTTTTATCACCCGACGGGTGGTCGTATAGGTGTGTATGTGTGTGCATATATATATATATATATATATATATATATATATATCGTTCGCTCTCTCTCTCTCGCCCTCTCTCTCTCTCTCTTTTTCTCCTTCTCTCCCCTAAGAGAGCAAGCAGGTTTCGATATAGTCAAAGTGTACCTAACGTGTTCTTCTTTGCCTGGCCTTTGCGAATGCATGTGTGGTTTCTCGCTGGCTCTTCGCCACAGCTCCTGCTGTCTTCCCTCCCCCCTTCCTTCCGCGTGACAGGCCACGACAGTTGAAACATGTCCGCCATGGCGGGCTCCTGAGAGGCCACCGAAAATGGGACCATACGGTTGAGGGAACAAATAAGCAACAGTTCTTCCCTCCTCCGCAATTCAAGCTTGGCACGGTTACTCATCACCGCTCGGACACTCAAGTTCGGAAGAATTCAAACCAACATTGCATTCGGGGGAGGGGGAGTTCAATCCATGTGCTACGAGTGAATGTTGCTTCGCTGTTTCCGACACCTGTATCTTGATTATCTCGGGATGGGTTTCCCAGTTTAACACGCCGAGATGGATTGAGCAGGGTTGTTTAGACGTTGCAATTCAGCACATGAAACGCTTGGATTCACCAGCAAACTGGATCATAGGGATGAGGAACACTCCAAGGTCACAGGTTACCCTCCATCATCCTTGCATCTTCGGCCCACCCTCAGCCACCATCGCTGGCCATTCTGTCGCCCAGAGGACTTCAGCTTGTGCGCCTGAGGTCGTTGCATTCTTGCCGCGCACTCCCGTGGTTCTGTCGCGCAGTATTCAACATGCGCTAGGCCTCGTCCTTGGCCCCGGGGCGCCGTCGCCATTACATGCCCATCTTCTGTTGAAGGTATGACTTCGCGGATGCCCAGATCCCAACCTTCTGGGTGCCGTCCTATTCCAAGATGCGACTGGCTTTCCCTTCTTCCTCTTCAGGGGGCGAGCGGAAGCCCGATCTGCTCTCGACGCCTCCAGAACGATACTTAACCGCTGCCCCCGCCGCCGCCGCCGCCGCCCTCGCGCCCCTGCGGCGCCCTCCCCCGCCGAGGCCTCGGGCGCCCTGGCGCCGGTGCGCTTCCTCGCCAGCCTGCACCGGAGGCGGCCTCGCGGGCGACGGCCACCACCACGAACGGCGGCGGCGGCGGCGGCGGCGGCGCCTTAGCGCCAATTCGCTTGCTCCTCTCGCCGCAGGCGCTTCGCGGAGGTCATCAAGCGGCACCCTGGCCCGTGGCCAGGCCGGCCCCGCGGGGATCGGGCAGGCCCTTTGTTGTCGGCGCCGAGGAGGACGGAGGAGGGGCAGGGAGGAGGGGAGTCAGGAGGGAGAAAAGCACAGACACAATAAATCGTCGATTTCCAAGAAAATGTAAGAAAATCTGGGAAGTGGGGGGGGGAAGACAAACACCCAGAAAATATGGGAAACTATGGGGAACCCGGTCATTTGTGTCTATTCATTTGTGTGTCCCAGGGCCCCTTCGAGAAGAGGCGGTTTGGCTCGAGGCCGTCGTGTGCCGCAGTCTGACGCACAGTCAACAAGCGCCCGGTGCGCGCAGGCGGGCCGGGGCCCCAGCGGCCCACACTTGCGAGCGCCTTTGCGCCCCCGGTGCGGCCAGCCGCCGCTCTGGGAGATTCCGAGAGATTCCATCTGACCCTCCTCCTCCCTCCTCCTGCTCCTGCTCCTGCTCTTGCTCCTCCTGTTCCTGCTCCTCCTGCTCCTGCTCCTCCTCCCTCCTCCTTCCTCCCCTCCCCATCTCCCCCCTCGAACTACCCCCACCCACCCACCTCCCACCAACCGTCCCCAACCCCTCCCCGCGTTCCCACCCTGGGCCCTACAGTCGGGGCGCTAGAGAAGGAACCCTTTTCCTTGGGGAGGGGCTCGGTATTCCTTGATTGTTTCACAGCTTGCCTCGGATTTTCCTTATGTCTTCGATGGGAAATCGGAGTTTAACTTATGGAAGAAAGGGGCCTCGTTCCTGATTTAGGGTTCCTTAGGTCAACGCCCCGACTGCAACGAAGGGAAGGAGGAATATGACGAAGTATAGTGCAGAGGAGAGAGGGAGCATTGCCTTGCAGAGCTGGGTCGGCATGGGATTGGGCCGGTTGGTTGTCCACTGTGGAGCGCGCAGCTGCAGGGCCCGTAGCAGTTCAGCAGCAGACCAAGCTTGGTCTGGTTGGGGGCGCCTGTGGCATGAGACGGGCAGACTGGTCGGAGGCCTTGGGCTGCCGGAGAGCCAAAACTGTTCTGCTGTGCATGCGGACCCACTTTTGACTCAAACGAAGCACGTCGACGCCTGGCTGTATGGGGCGGGGCGCGAGAGGGGAGGGCGAGAGAGAGGAGAGGGAGAGGGACTGCATGTTCGGCCCGCGCGTCGCGGGCCGTGGAGACGCTACGAGGATTGCCTCTCTTGGTGCGAGCGCAGCAGCAGAGGGAGAAGGAATGGATGCGGGCACCTCCTGCAGGTCCAGATGCAGTGCCTCTCACACCCTATACAAGCGCAGGCTATCCCACGCGCCCGGGAGTACCCTGCAGTGACGTTTCCACGACTTCGGGTGGACCTGTCGTGTCCTGTCTTCACAAGGGGCTTCGGGAGGACAGAAGCAAGTGAATTGGCCGCCACTACAGCGTGCTTGAGAAATCGAGGGTGAGAGGAATCGTCGAAGGAGGTGCATCGCTCACGCTTGGCGGTCTCATCAGCAGCATTTTGACCACGATCACTAATTGTCAGTCGCAGTACTTAAACTCGCTGGATTCCTTGGAACTGATAAGCGGTGCTTGCCTCGAATCTCAGATGGAGGAGGAAGGATATGAAGACCGGACAAAGAGAGGAATATGGACATGATAGGAGGGAGAAAAAGATGTGGGCATATCCCGTAGGCACAGTGCCTCCCACACCCTGCACAAGCAAGCCGCGCCCACACCGCCGAGCGCACCCTGCTTTGACACTTCCACGCAAGACAAGGCGAGGGGCAGGAACAAACGAAGAAGAAGGGCCATGACGGAGATCCGGCGACAAAAAGTATGGGGCGATGCGCGTGTGCTCGTGCCCCGCCTCGAGGCTAGGCCTGTCGCAGGACGCTGCAGGCAAGGTGCCGAGACGCGGCGGGGCAAAGCGTGGGCGGTCCTTGGAGCAGGGGTAGGATTTTGCCCCAAGCATTAGGAGCCTACAGTGCGGCCGCGTGCCAAGAAACCAGTTGGATTTTGACAGGGTGCCCTGGGTCCTTGAATTTCGATGGGCCCCCAATCAGATCTTGACGATTTTCGATCGACCAATTCGGGTTGTCACTAAGCAAATTGCGTATTTCAGGGTGGCCTGGCCCACGGCCAGTCACGCAGCCCAGGTTAGCACGTGCGCGCCATCGCTTCCAGTTGGCGCCGATCTTCGCTTGCGGTGCTGAGACGTGGCGGGGCAAAGAGTGGGCGGTCCTTCGACCAGGGGTAGGACCTTGCCCCGAGCATTGGGAGCCTGGCCGTTCTGCTTGGCCTGGCCCACGGCAGTCACGCAGCCCACGTTGTAGCACGTGCGCGCCATATCGCTTCTGGTTGGTGCCGATATATCTGCGCTGCGCGAGTCTCCCGCAGCGTGGCCTCCGCCTCCGCGACCCCTGGCCAAGCCTGGCGCGTGGCCCCAAACCAGTCCCGTCCTTCGTGAGGAAATTTGTGGAACAAAAACACACAAAACACAACAAACACACGTGTTTGTGTGTGTGTGTTTTTTCCCACAGTGTGTGTTTGTGTGTTTTTTCCCAGGTTGCCCCTGATCGTGACCCCGATGAGCTTCCTTCCACACGAACGGGTGGCACATGCCTTTGGGCAACTTCCATTCGCCGGGGCAGACAGTGTGCCACCGCTGGCGGTAGCGGCGCTGCGCCGCGTTGCAGGCGGCACCCTGCCAGCGGTTGTCCTGGCAAAGGGTCCTCCGTGGCGGGCACCCGCACCCCCACGTCCTGTGCGTCCGCCACTGCCGCGGGCCACGCGCCATGAGACATGGGGGCAGCCGCCATGCCGCCGAGTGTACAGGGAATTGAGCTGTGCCGTCCTGGGAGGCGGTAGAAGTGCCATGGGAACGGAGGCAATCAAGATGAGCGAAGAACGAACTTGCTGTCCCTTCAAGGAGGTTGACCAATTGGACGCAGATGCGTTGGGTTAGAATGTGGCACAACATGCAATTCAGGATGTGCGTGAGCCCGGGGTGTTGGTCCATCAGCCACAGCAGCAATGATCCGAAAGCGTGAGGGATGAAAAGGGTCGCGAGCACACGAAGTTGTTAACCCATCAAAATGGTGGACCGAGGGGGCGCAGATGTGCTGAGCGAGCAGTCTGCTCCCAATGTGCCTCAAGACAAGTGTAGGCTTGGGATGTCGGTCCATCAGCAAAGGCAGCAGCGACCCTGAAGCAAGAGGGAGGAAAGAAGGGCCCCCTTGCAGCAGGCCGAGGCGCGTGGGGAACCGCCCGCCCATGGAACAGGGAAGGGCCCCCCCCCAGGGGAAGGATATTACCAGCCTCGAACCTTTCCCTATCCCTGAGATTGACACGCCAAAAGGCGATGACAATCGTAGGGATTCGCCCTCAACAAATAAGGGAAGCCCTAAGATTGGCATCGTGATGAGGAGGTGCCCAGCATAGGGATAGGGATATGTTCCAGGCCGGTAAGGATAGCGGACGGCGACCATAGCCTATGGCGGCCAACGGAGAGAGCGGAGGCAGGAGCGGGGAGGGACGAGGACGACAGCAGGAGGGACCGGCCTGGTTGGTTCTGGTTGGTGACCCTACTACGCGTAGGTTCTGCTCAAACAGACGCATATAAGCAGCTGGGCAGATGGTGCATCGTGCTGTCGGGGAAGAGGAGGAAGGGAGATCTGCTGCTGAGAAGGCGGGGGAAGAGAGGCACCATCGAGGCCCGCTGACCTTGGCATCGCTCGGACGTGTGCATTTTTCCTTCGGCGAGGACCATCGAGGAGCATCCTTGATCATTTGGCGAACAAACCACGCACGAACCCGGAAAAAGCACAGGGAATGGCCGTCCGAGCGATGGGCAGATCGAGGCCCGTTGACCTCACAAAAGTTGACAACCAGGGTTTGTGTTTTTTTCGTGGTGGCTGGCCTTCGGACCTGCTCTCGGCCTGCGCTCCCACCGAGTGGAGCCTGCGGGCGGTCCTGGCTGCACGTGCACTGGCTCTTGAGGCTGCTCTTGTGAATAGTTCCCGCTGGCGGTTGGTGGCCTGGGTGACGCGGGAATCGATGTCGGGGCGGAAAGCCGCAGCCTGAGAAAGTTCGCCCTCACCACCAGAACCGGGGCGCTGGGCTTAGGCGGAGGCGGAGGATTGAAAGCGGGCAAGGTGGGGGCTGGATCATCGACAGGCGGTGCCTCCGAGGATGGTTCCGTGCGATCATCTCGGGACTGGAAGAAAAGCTTGCCATTTGTGTGCTTGCGAATCCTGTCAAAAGAGTCCGATGGTCCGAGAAGAACGTCCGCCGCAGCTCTCACCATCTAGGGCTGGCCGTGACTGTGAACGAGCTTGATGGCCTCGATGCGCCTGGCATTCGTGTGCTGCCTGGCTTGGTTCGCGCTCGAGAGTGCACATCTCGAACGGCGAACGGCGCTGTATTGCCGGCTTGGGTGTTGCTGGAGCCGGTTTGGATGAGGTCGGGGCAGACAAGCAGCATGTGCGATTCTAATCCTTGGAGGATCGGCTATGGCATCTGCTCTTGTTCGCATATTCTCCTGTAAGCGGCATGGGCGCGGTCGCCTTTCCTGCGCATTCCAATGGAGGTGGCGGCGGTGGCGGGGGCACTTGTGCCTGCGCAGTAGGCGGAGGAGGAGAGGCCGTCTAGTAGAAACTTGCATTCTTGGACGGCCGTGAGACATCTCCAGGCGGCACAGACGGAACAGATGTGGGAAGGGCGCGCTGTTGTGAGAACCACTGCTGCGGCGAAGCAAAGAACATGCGAATGGGAGCAGGGGAGCGACACAACCTGGAGGCGGCTGCAATGGAGGAAACCATTCGTGGCACGGCTATGAATGAAACGACCTCTCGAAGAGCATTGACCTGTCTCCTGCCTCACCATGGCGCGAAGTCCTCGAAGTTGTGGTCGTGCGGCCGATCCCCTCTCACCTTCCAGGTATTTTCGACAGAAGTTCCTGGGAGGGGGGCAGTGGCCGATAGAGATGCTTGCCCGTCCCACGTGCTAGCTTGAACATTCTAGCTCTCGCACGCCTTTGCTGTTCCGAGCTAGAAC